GCTTAAAGCCCATCTATGAACACAGCATCTTCTCCCCACTGATCTGAAATATCATTTTGACCTTATATTAATTTCTTATACATCCTTAGATCTATTTTTGGACTCTACTCCATTCCTCTCATTAGTCTGTCTATTCCAGAACTGAAAGCATTCTATTTCATATAATTTCATAATTTAAAAATCTGCTAGAGCAAGTCCTTTCCATAAATCCTACCTTCAATATTATGCTTTCTTGGTACTTTTCAGATTATTAACAAATTGTGGCATACTCAATAAAAACAATCATTCTAAAATAACTTGGCTAAGGCTAAATTATAGGATACACAATAGTTCATTCTTAAAACAATGTCCATAGTCCTTTAAAATTAGCTTGTTATTTCTTAATGACTCATCTAAAAATAAAACATCAAAACAAAATAAAATTTCCTAAAACAAATAACTGGAACCAAAGTATATCACTAGTGCCCTTTTAAATAAGGTTGTATTTCAGTTCACGAACTTAATTCTTTGCACAATCCCAGTCCAAACCAAATTGGACAAGAATCAAATTTCCCCAAAAGGTCAACACTGAACCTAACCACTGAATTTGATTTGGTTCTTGTCCAATTGGTTTGTGACCAGAAAAGTGGAAAGAATCAAGTTTGTGAACCGAGGTACCACGGTATATCATGAGGTAATCTCCCAGCTAAAAGTGAAGAGCTCACCAACTGCTTTGGCTAAAAAGGGAGATAGCTCAGCACCTGGTATGCACGCAATGATTTCATCAGTGTACTTTCTACCATCTGGAGTTTGGTTTTAAAAAATACATGCACAGAAGAGTACAAGAGATTTAGTATGTTCAGTCTGTCATAAATGCTTCCAGGTTGGAGTAGAAGGTTGGTATAAACAGTTTCAACTATGATAATGCTCAGTAACATTTCATGTAGTTTTCTCTTTGAAAAAGATGAGAAAGTCACTTGAGATATTTTTATTTAAAAAAAAAAAAAAGCACCTTAGAGGAAATTTAGTGTTTTTTTCAGGCAACAGAAATGAGAGGACTGAGCAAGGAGAAGAAATCAGCGGCTTCCTCAGAGGTGCAGGCAGTTACCCTGAAATGAGAGCAAGCTGGACTTGGGAGGCTTCACAGAAACAGAATTACAACTTTTAAGCTAGAAAGACTCTTAAGAGTTTTCTAAAATAAACTTTTGGTTTTCTTGGCCTCATATCTTTGCCCATGTCACTTCTACCCAGTGACTTGGAACTCAGCAAAAACGCTGCATAACCTTATGACTTTTTTGTATCCCAAGAACAAACACTACCATGTACCTATCTCCTCCTAAAAGTACAAAAGGCATATCTTGTTCATGCCTTTATTTTCATCCTCATCACATCATCACCGTAATTACTTACATAAACTCTATGGTTAGGGGCTATTTTTCACTCATTTTTAAATCTTCACTGCTTAACACAGTGCCTGCAACTTAATAGAGGCTCAGTAAAGGTTTCTGAGTAGCCAGGAGCGGTGGTGCATACCTGCAATCCCATGGTAGGTGGAAGTGAAGGATCTCATGAGTTCAAAGCCAGCCTAGGCTACACAGTAAGTCTCAGGCCAGCCTGGACTGTAGACAGAGACCTTATCTCCCAAAAAAAGTTTTTGGGGTGAATGAAAAGAAGAAAAGCAGTAAATAGTAACAGTTTTACTCTTTTCTACACTAGTAACATCCACATGGGATATTAAGTTTAGTATGGGAGCTATACTTCGAGAACTATAAGGAAGACAGAGTTTAAATGGTGATCTTATAGTAAAGAGACTCAAAACTATGTCACCTGAGGACCAAATGAAGCAGTAGTTCATGAACTTTTAGGATGAATAAGAAAACAAAGACTCAAAGCCATTTCCTTACCTATCCAACAAATATTTACAGTACTATTCTGGGTGCTAGGCTGGCTTTGAACTCAGCTATGGTCAAAATATCACCCTCGCCCAAACAGAGGTTCAGTCTAGTGAGGGGTAGAGGTTAAATGTAGTACCCTGTAGTTAGGACTATACTTGGAGAAGCAGAGAGTGCTTTAGGAGTACCTGAAGGGTTTGTGGAAGGCTTTCCAGAGGAAGTAACCTTGAGCCTCTAAGAAAAGGATAAAAACATAAGCAGGACTCAAAAAGAAAGGTAACATTTTTTGTTTATTTCACACAGAAAAAAAGCATATTGTTATGAGGAAAAAGTATTCTAAATCCTGGATATTTTGGTGTAAGTGCTGGTTGGAATTTAAAAGACAAATAGTTTCAAAAAGAAGTTGCAGATGGAGGCAGTATGGAGGTATAGAGCATATCATACACCAGGTACAGCGAGGTTGGGGGTGCAGTCATCCTGGCAACAGCGTGAAGAATGGACAAGATGGAAGTAAGGCAGGAGGCTGGAAGACTAGGAAGCTAGGCCAATAATTCTAGGTTTTAGACAATGGTGGCTTGAACTAGGAAAGTGTCAGAATGAAAATGAGAAGGTAATCCTTAGAGCTATTTTCTAATAACCAGAGGCCAATGAGTAAAAACTGGATAAACATGTTCCACATGGTCCTGAAAGTTAAAATGTAGCTAAGAAAAGGAAACACATTTTGGCCCAATTAAGTATCTGTCCAATATGAAGCAATTTCTCTAAGGAGGTTGTACATCCTTAAGAACTTGAGAAGTTCAAAATAAGAAATTCAAAGTGTTATATTGTGAAATGATGGATGAGGTAAGACTAAAGGTTTTCTTCCCCAACACTGAAGTTTCACTAATCTACTGAATTTTATGTCAGTTTGATATTTGGGGTTGCCCTCTGTGCTCAAGGGAGAACACAAAATATGCATGACTAAGTTATATCAGAGTATATGCCTGTGCTACCAATTGTCTCACGAGGATAACTAAACTTTCAAATTTTAACATCACTTGCTAACATATACTTTATATAAATTGAGTACATGTTTTAACAACACCCTGTCAACAAACAGGTTTACAGCCATGACTGAACTGCAACTGTTACTATTATTCATACCAGCAACAAAAACAGCAGCAGCAATCCCACTGAATACTTTCCATGTGCTTTCCTTAGACCAGCTTAGTTCAATATTTCCCATGTTTAAGTAGGTTTTATGCTTATTTTAAAGATGAGGAAATGAGTTCAGAAAGATTAGGTAATTTGCCTGAAGTTATAAAACTGATCATTGGGGAATATGAATTTGACTGAATTCTGACAGACTCCTATGTCAATACTTCTTCCACTGCCAACTTATACTTGAGGAAAGTTGTAAGGAATAATAAAAATAACTACCATTTGTTTACAAAGAGGAGGCATTTTTATCTACATTATTTCATTTCATTCATTTCTTCAGCTCACAGTCCTAATGCTTCATTTCAAAGAATGTCAGAAGATTTTACTTAGAGTCAAGTCTGGAGTATACAGTTACTGAACATAATATTCCTTCACAATTGAAAACTATTCGAGAGACTTGAAGATGTTTTCAGATCTGTTAGCATATATAATGTTCTTTACAACCCTATGAAGTAGGCAGAATGGGATTTCTCCATTTTATAAGTGAGAAAAGACTGACTCAGAGTCGCACAGTTACTAAGTGGCAAGAGTTGGTTCTCAACGAACCCAAGAGTTTTGATTCCTCATCTGATGTTCTGCTTTATGTTATCTTGTGTACCATTAGGCAATGGAAAGTACTATGTCATAGGAAGAAAAAGCAAGAGGAAGCAAATAGTGATAACAACAGAGCTGGACACATGAAATTGCAGTAATAAAATATATCAAAGTACTGAACAAAAACTGATAAAGGTATCAGAACATCAACATTTATGAAACATGTAGAAGGAGTCTAAAGACTGTAAGACACTAAAAATGATGTTATATAGAAATCCCAAAAGTTGACTGTAAAATATTAGCTTTATTCCTCAAATCTTAGTTCTGAAGTACACGAGCAGGGATGAAAACCAAATGCAGTATTACTTGACTTGCTACTTGATAATATTTTAATATTTCAGTTTTTATTTTGTTTAGAAATTTAGAAAAAAAATTTTTAGTTGTGAATAACTTTATTGTTCCTTTGAAGAACTTCCACAAACCTGTATGAATCTGGTCAGTTTTCAGTATACAAATATCGCATTATTTAAATCATGCACTCAACTTTTTTTAACCTTACTATGTCCAGTAATCCGTAAGTATTAATAAAATAAACCTTACCCAATCTGAACAAAACTCTCATATTGAAGAACCTCTAAAATCTAATAAATAGTTTGATATTGTCCTCACCACTTGTGACACTAGAAAACTTTTAAATTTAATTTCAGTTAAATTTATCTTATGAGTAATATCTTCTAGGAAAATTTCACCAAACTCTTGATTTATATATTGAGACTTTGTTTTAGTTCTAGATTCAGTGAATTAAGAGTTAGCTTCAGTTTGGTTCATTTTCCTTTCTTGGCTTGTTGTGACTATTAATCCTGACACAACAACTTTATTGGATTAAGAAATGCCTTGCAAATTAGTACAGGGTACTCCTGGGTAGGTTCAGGTAGGGTATAGAGAGATGGCCTTGAACACTGTATATGATCCTTCACCTACTCCTCTCTGGAACAACTGTCCCCCTGTTCTGCTTAAAGGCTGCCATGAACTAAGAGCTCTGCTCTGCCATGCGTTTCCCCAGTTTCTGGCTTGGAGCCTGCCAATGATATACTGAATTTCCTGAAACCATGAGTTAAATTAAACCTTTCTTCCTTTACATTGTGCGAGTTGGGTATTGTTTCTCAGTGATGGGAAAGCTGACTGATATACTTGCTCTGTGGCTGTCTGATAAACAGGCTTGACATGACAGCTAAGACTAATTACTAGGCTAATTTGGCAGACAACAGCACAAGCTTCACTGGTTTATAAGCAGAGACACGTGGAATTCTTTTCCTAGTGGACTAAAACCAGTTAAAATCTAATCCCTGGTCTAGTAATTCCCCTTATTTAACAGAAATGAAAAAAATATCTTACCTAGCTCCAGGATGTCAGTAGTTTCTATTAAAGAAAAAAATGTTATAGTATATAGGTCATCATGACAAACATCAAAATGACAGGTAAAATTCTAGGGTAAAATAGGGGTTTGAAATTTTGTGTAGTTCAATTATTTTATTTTAAAGTATACTGAGTATTATTGGTAGTTGTGGAAATACACCACCCAATTTTCCCTTCCTTTGGAGCCTAAACTAGTAAAAACTATGGAAATCCTGGGAGACTAAGCAACTGTGCCTAAAACTATAAAGCTAGATTGGTATTATTTATGCTTAGAATCTAGGTTTCCCGATTTTCAGCTCAAAATAAAGTATACTGTATTTGACAGACATCTCCATAAATGACAATATTTGTTTTTGTTTTAACCAGTGAATTATTTGTAAAATCAGATCTTTAAGAACAAATGCTTGATGGGGAAAATGTCAAATAAAAAATTTTTCACATTAAATTGCTGTTTTCTTACCTTGATAATGAAGCGCACGCTCTGATCGGGGACCATATTTGTATTTCTTAACGTCATTCCAGTCTATTGCTACAGGAAGGGAGAAAATAGTTATTCGGAAAGAAAACAAAAAATTCAATACTTTTCCAATTTTGCAATATGCATTAATGTTTTTCATAAAATAGATTACTTCTGAGATTCTACTCTAGAAAAATAACCCAAATACAGAAAAGGTTTTGTTATTTATTTATTGAATGACTGATTGAGACAGGGTCTCATAATGTAGTTCAGGTTGGCCTGGAACTCACTATGTAGTGATCCTTCTGCCTCAGCTTCCTGAATGCTGGGATTACAAGTGTGTGCCACCGTGCCCAGCTTGAAAGGTTTTATTTTTTTAATTAAGTTTATTGGTACATTTTAGGTATACAGCACGATCACATATATTATAGGGAATTTGTACCTATACATGATATAACTTGATTCTTTTTTGCCCTCCACTTCCCTCCCCTCTATTCAGCCCTTCTTCCCCTCCCTATTTACAAAAGCTTTGTTTCCATTTTTCCCTTCTTTTCTCATTTTTTCTTGTCCCTTCCTTCCTTTTCCCCTCCCCTCTTCCTTAGTTCCCCTTTGTATTTGAACATTTTCTTCCTATTTCACAATATCGATTATACATTTTAGTTCTTACTTACACTTTCGGTTTCTCACACCAGAAAAACAATGCAGTATTTACATATGTGTGTCCAGTTTATTTCACTTAAGGGTATGGGCTCAAAGTGCATCCATTTACCTAGTAATGTCTCAAGCTTATCGTTCTTTATGGCAGAGCAATACTCTATTGCATAAAAAAACACATCTTAAGCCATTCAACAGTTGATGGGCATTGTTTCCAAGATTTAGCTATTACAAACTGTGCCACTATAAACATGGTATACATGTATTGCTGTGGTATGATGCTTTTAATTCTTTTAGGAAGATACCAAGAAAGGGAATAGCTGGGTCGAATGAAACCTCTAGTACTAGTTTTCTGAGGAATCTCTACACTGATTTCCACAAAGTTGCACCAGTCTACACTCCCACCACCAGTGAAGAAAGGTTCTTTTATCTCCACAGCCCCAGCAGCATTTGTTATTGGTTGATTTGTAGATAACAGCCATTCTTCCTGGAGTGAGATAGAATCTCAGTGTTGTTTTAATTTTCATCTCTTGAATAATCCATGATGTTGAACATTTTTTCATATATTTATTTGTCATTTCTACTTCATCTAAGATATGTCATTCATTTCAGATGCCCATTTCTGGGTTGGGTCTTTAAATTTGGGGGGGGGTCTGATTTTTTTGACTTCTTTATATATTCTAGATAGTAGTTCCAAAAAGGTTTTATTTTAAAAGCTTCAGCATTACTTATAATAGAAGAAAAAGAAGAGAGGGAACACCTAAATGTTCAAAACAGAAGAGTGATTAAGATTTGGCCATGTAATCACTTGGCAAAGTATTTTGCAGGTGTTGAATTCTTACGAAGGCTAAAGGAGCAAGTGGGAAAACGGTGAATTTATAATGTTATCAGGTAAAACATGGCAACAAAAACTACTGGTGGAATAATCGCGATTATGCAAAAATTGTAAAAAGCAAAAAAACAAAAAACAAGTATCACTATGGGTGAACTGTGCTTTCCAAAACTTTACTGAAGTCTTTCCTCTCTAGTATTTCAGAATATGGCTGAAGATTTTGGAGACAGAATCTTTACAGAAGCAGTTAGGTTAAAATGAGGTCATTAGGGTGAGCCCTAATCCAGTATGACTGGTGTCATTACAAGAACAGGAAATTTGGACACAGGGTAGAGAAAAGATCACATAAAAGCAGAAGGAGAAGATGGCCATCTGTTTATCAAGGACAAGAGGCCTCACAGGACAATACTGCTGATATCATCGTTTCAGACATTTAATCTCCAGAACTATGCGAAAATAACTTTCTGTTATTTAAATGGCCAAGTTTGTGGTTGTTGTTATGACACCCCTAAAAAACTAATGAAATCCCTGAAAATTATCATAGAAAAAAAAAAGAAGTAAGCACAGCATATATAAGCAACTAGTTATCTTTTTGTGGTAGCACTAGGCTCTATTTTTTAACCTTACATAATTCAAATATATATTCCACAGAGAAAATGTTATTCATATAACAGGAATATATTTTCCTTGTTTGGCTATTTAGATTAATTCATTGACTATCACTTTCTTACCATCAATCACTCATCAGGTCTTCAGTTCTCTTCTTATCCTGCTCAGATTCCATGGTCTTTCATTAAAACCACCACATGGCAAACACTTTTAACTCTCTCACAACTTTTTTGGTCAAACTGGTCTAATAAAGTCTTAATTCAAACTGGTTGAAGCCACTACCAATCTATACTGTGTCTGCCCCACCATCTCACTAGCGCTAAGGAACAAAAAAAGCTTACTGGCCTCACTTTTAAACTCACAGTTTAATTCTCAAAAGTCACTTTATACTGCCCAGAAATCACACCACATTTCTCCACTGTTTTGCTTTTCTACTTTCCAAAACAATATTTTCCACATTTTTTCTCTCCTCAAATTCCAAATATCCCTGCCTCCAATGTTTTGTAAAGGATGACCTTTAATTCATGGTTCAGTGAGAAACAGAAATAAGGGTAGGAACACTTCCACTCATTTCACAAAGGTACAGACTTGATCTTGTTTAGTGGTATACTGCCAGTGTATAGTGTAGCAGCAGGAACTCAATGTTGAGTGCATGGATTAATCTTCTCACATATTCTTTCTGACTTCTCTTCTGTTACTGTGGATGAAGATCTGATCTTATCAAAAGCTTGCTCTCCGTGTTTGCTCAAATCCCACCATCTTTATCCTCTAAGGCCTTTGCATATACCCCTTCTAATAGGTCATCTACACTAACATTCTTACTGTTACTGCCTACCAAAAATATAATCTTCTAAACACTTCTTCTATGGTTTGCTGACTCCCACACATATTTCTCCTTTTGTATTCTTCCATTTCTCTGTTCGCCTTCACAGGAAAATTTAAAGGGTTATGTATAGTTACTGCCTTCTAACTTCCTCACACTATTTCCTCATTCAAATAGAGTTTTTCTGCTCTCCATTCCATTGAGATTACTCCAAAATTCACTTTTCTGGACTGTACTTTTCTTGGAATCCCCTAATCACATATGCAACTACTTAGGCCATCTCTCCATGGTTATCAGGTATTTCAAACTCAACACAGCTAAAACAGAATGCCACCCTTTGCCAACCAGTTCTTACTTTTTGTTTTCTCCAATTCAGTAAATGGTACTTCCACCACCTAGTGGTATGCAAGCTACTGAAGGGTGGCAACATGGTCTTGCACTCACCAAGGGAAGCTGACCACAGCCACTCCTGAGCAACAATCTGCCAGCAGCAGACACAAATGCTGAGCACCCAATATGACATCATTCCCCAGGGCAATCAGCCAGCTATTTGGTGGTAAAATGATTATACTGAACCATTTTCATTATGAAATAGTGGAGTTTTATCCTTTCTAGATTGAACACAACTCTGGATATGGATTTCATGCTTATGCTTATGCTTTTGCCAAAACGACCATCCATGCACTACAGAATGCCTTATTTACCATCACAGTATCACATACAGCATTGCTTCTAAACAAGGAACCCACCTGATAGTCAAAGAACTGCAGCAATAGGTTCTTGCTCATAGAATTCATTGATTTTACTATGCTCCCTATCATCCTAGAGCATCTGGCTTGACAGAACAATTGAATGGCCTTTTGAAGATTCAATAACAGAGCTAGCTAGGTAGCAATACCTTGTAAATTTGGGGCTAGGTTGTCCAGAGGCTTTCCACACTCTAAATAAATGTTTAATACATGGTATTATTTTTCTGACAGCCAGGACTCACAGGTCCAGCAATCAAGGGATAGAAATGGGAGTAATATAATTCTCCATTTTAACTAGTGACTTACTAGTAAAATCTCTATTTTCTGTTCCCATGAGTTCATTTTCTGCTGGCCCAGAGGTTTAAGCTCTAGAAGAAGGAATGTTTCTAATAGGAAACACAATACTGATACCCCTGAATTGAAAGTTAAGACTGCCACCTACTCACTTTGGGCTCCCCATGCCTCTGAGTCAACAGGCCAAGAAAAGAGTTTCAGCATGAGCTGAGGTGACTGATCTTGACAACCAAGTGGTAATTAGGACTACTCCTCCACAATGGAGATAAGAAAGAATATGCCTAGCACACAGGTGATTGCTTAGTATCTTAGTATTACCATGCACTGCTACTTAGGTCAGCAAAAAACTATAACAACCCAATGCAGGCAGCACTATAAATAGCCCAGAACCTTTAGAAATGAAGGTATATGTCACAATGAGGTAAGGAACCACAATCAGATAAGGTTCATGATAAAACCCAAAGGGAATATAGAATAGATAGTAGAATAAGGTAGTTATAAATATTAGTTAAAAACTTTTGTTTTTTTTTTTTTTTTTGGTTTTTCTCCGGTACCGGGAACCGAACTCATGACCTTGTGCTTGCCAGGCAGGCGCTTTGCCGCTGAGCTAAATCCCCAGCCCCAGTTACAAACTTTTGACCGCTTACAGAAACAAGGAATGTAATGGTGATGAATATTTCCTTATTTTGTTATGAATGTTTGTGTGTATATATACATTTATTAAATAAATTGCTTCTTCTCCCTCATTGTTTTATCATAACAAAAGATGTAATAACTTTTAATCAGTATTTAAGTATTGCTACATCGCAGTATATAAATGGCAGGAAATTAGGAGAAGAGTAAATTTCACTCAAAAAATTTACCTTCTCTTCTAGGGAAGTGATTAGCATGTTTGGGGTTGTATGCAGAAAAGATATATACCTTAGGTAGAACTATGACCTTGTTTCTATCTTCATTTCAAGATCAAGTATGGGTTAAGGAGATGCATATGGGTGCCACCTTAAAAATGGGCAGACTTGTGATGGTTAACTTTATGTATCAACTTGACTGGATTACAGGATGCCCAGATAGCTGGTAAATATTAGCTGGCTGTGTTTTTGGAAGAACTGAT